CAGGGAAGGTGAGCATCATGGAATGCCAGGTTATTAGAACAAAGTGTTCTTGCATTGAGGGAGTACTTGAGTAGAGGCCCAGTGTCTGTCTGTTACCTTAATACTTAACATATAAATATATGTACATAGATCTATTTCCCTGTCATTATATATAAATATATTTACATATGTACATGCCTGTATTTAGACCTCTATAAATGTCCTTTGTCTCCTAGTTCTTTCCTGTTTCCTTTTACTTTCTCTTGTCCCACTATCATGCTCAGTCTTCATTTGGGTTTCAGTAATTCCACTCAGCTTTATTGCCCTTGATCAAGCCCCACCAGGCATATATCCTATACCCTCCTTGCCATCAGGTTTAGATCGCTTGTTCCCTTGTCCCTGGATTTGTTGGTACTCCCCTTCCTTTGCCCCACCTCCCCCTCTCCTGTGCTCCCCCTACCCCTGGAATGGTTGATCCCTTGTTTTCTCCTCTGCATTGTTAATCCCGCCTACCTTATCTAGATCGACATGCAGAGACAATATCCCCTCCCTCCCCCACCCTACCCCCAGAAACCATTATTAAAGTATATATTATTATTATTTCCTATTGGTTTTCTTATGCTGAACCACCGTCCAGTCCTTATTTCTCACACTCTGGGTTTTATAACCAATTGCCCATAACTCAATAACACACTTCCATTGAATCAATGCCAGCTCAGGTCCCAGGGGTCCTCAGACTTTTTAAACAGGGGGCTAGTTCATTGTCCCTCAGACCCGTTGGAGGGCCAGACTATAGTTTAAAAAACAACAACTATGAACTAATTCCTATGCACACTGCACATATCTTATTTTGAAGTGAAAAACAAAACAGGGCAAAAACACCCGACGGCCTGGATAAATGTCCTTGGCAGGCTGCCTGTGGCCTGCGGGCCATAGTTTGAGGACCCCTGTAAATAAGTGACCTATAGGACAGGGTAAAACTGTGGGTGTCAGAGACTGTAACTCTTTACAAGAGTGGAAAAGCCCATCTGCCTCTCACAGAACAGCTGGTATCTTTGAACTGCTGACCTTACTATGTAGTTAGCAGCCCACCGTGTGCCCCCCACAGCTCTAGGGCTCCTAGCATAGTTTATATTACCTTAGTATTTGTTGAACACGGTGTCTGTGGGATCAAAATAATAGGTTTCTCAAACATCCTCTTAATTCTCAATCATCATCATTCTTTGACACATGAGATCTTGAACCTGGAAGATTAAAAAATATTGCCACTTCTCACCATCCTTTATTCAATACTTAACTAATCCAGGCTCTTCTTTGAGGTCTTTTTCTTTTTCTCGCTCACTCTCTTTCGTATGTTTTCCTGCCTTCTGTTTCCACAGCTACCAGGTGAATACAGACCATTGTTGCATCATTCCTGGACTCTTCCAATGACCTTCCCATTGCTCTCCCTTTTTCCTCTTTTGCTCCATATCCCACAAGGGCTATTGATCTTATTTCCCAGGACTACGAACTTGAATTCCTAGTCCAATGCCTATGATCACTTCTGCCTACAAGCCATGCCCATTCAAGAACTCCAGGCTAGCCGTTCAAGTGTCACCTTTGACTTCCCATTGTGGCCTTTCCTCTGGTCCCAAGGTAACCTATTCACCGTTCCCTCCACAGTTACTTATTCTCTCCAAGACCCTGCTGCTGGCAACACTGAAGGCCTGCTCCACACTCTTCTAGCCTGCAAACCGTGATTCCACCTCGGGATCCCCCCTCCTACCCCTGAATCATTGGTACTCCACCTTAAGGCCTTCACTCCTTTGTATCCTCTCAGCTCTATTGTTGAAAACAAACTTTATTTTTAGCTTAGTATTGTTTTTAAGGTAGTTAATAGATATGTGTAGTTTCCCCCTTAACTTTGTAAGTTTAAAATTTCTTTCATTTACTTTGTCCCTAGAATAGTGCGTGGAACATGGTGAAACATGGTGAGTGTTCAGATATGATGAATAGTTGACATTCTCGCTTTTGCTTCTTGAGGCAAAAAATTGGTATCCATACAGGAAAGCCTTTATTCAGTAGATATAGTTTCAAGGCACAAGGTTCTGCTCATTTTCTATAAGACTTACTGCACAGGAGGGCTGCTTTTAATGTACAAAAACATTGTTAGATGCTGTCATGGTTCCATCTCATAGCAACCTCATGTACCGCAGAACAAAGCAGGGCCCGGTCCACACCAGCCTCAGGACGGTGCCTATTCTCCAGCCACTGAGTCCATCCATCATGTTGAGGGTTTTCCTGTTTGTCCTTATCCCTCCACTTGATGAAGGACATGGAAGAAGTCTCACCATACTTGCTTTGAAGGAGCGTTCTGGCTGTACTTCTTCCAAGAGAGATTTGTGCAGTCTTTTGGCAATTCATGGTACTCTCAAGAACTCAGGACCTCCATGGACTGCTAAAAGGAGAAACCATCTGCAGACAGGACCTACTGGACTGCCTTTCAATAAGCATCAGATATACTGTAATTGATCATATATATGTCTCTGCTAGATCTAGAAAAGTATGCATTCTTTGAGTTATTTGTAAAGGGCATCCTCCAGGGGATATCTTTGACTAGCTGGTAAGGGACAGAGAATCAGCAAAGGAAATGGTGATGTTACTAGGGGCCCACCTCTTTGGACAGTTCTGAACGTGAGGAGCCTGCTGAAAACTCTGCGTGACTCTTCAGAGGTCTTGTCCTTGGACGTGTGAGAATCAGGCAAATGTTTAGGAGGCTACTGCTTGTGTGGCGCTCACGTCTGTATGTATCCCTTTTCTTAAGGACCTTGGACCCTCAAACCCTTGCTCTGATTTCCCTGCTCCCTCTGCCTTCAAGAGTTAGAACTTGCCTCCAGGGTGGAAACTTCCAGAATGGTGACTCATCTCGCCAAGGTTACGGTCTCTGGGCCTCAGTTACGTGCTGGCGGTCTGGGAAGCCCTCAGATGCCTTCACATGGATGTTTCTGAACCTTTCTGGGTTTTTCAGTTGTTCCCAGGTGAATGTGGTCTGCTGGGAGCTGTTTACTTCATCACAGCCAGCAGTACACATTGCTCTGCCGGCATTTAGCTTTTCTGTTTCTGGTATGCCTTGTCTCCTTCTGGTAGTTCCCCAGTGAAGCAAGGAGTCCACTCATCTTTGTTCCACCACTTAGAACTGGAAGGGAAGAGATGTGTTCTGTTTCTTTCAGGCAATGAACCTTTCCGAGATGAGGGAAGATTAGAATGTGTGCTAGGAAATTAAGTCGGTCTTCTCCAAGTGACTTTTAAAACGGAGGATTCCAAAGTAAAGGGAACCCATGCTGTTTGGCCTAGTGTTTAATAAAGCCTTATCCAGTATAATCATAAAAGCCCAAGCAGGAAAAGACAAACTCAATCAGTCAATGGAACCTCATAAAAATGAAACACATGTGCATCAAAACACGTTACCAAAAACGGGAAAAGCCAATCTACTGACTGGGAGAATATCTTCGGTTACCATATATGCACAAGAATGAAGCAGGCAAAGTGGCTACAGGAGCACCGAGAAGAAGCAGGCTTCGGTCCCTGAGCTGGGAATGTTGGTGTTTTAAAAACTTAATCCAGCCACTGTGCTTGTAAGTTAGTTAGAATCATCTGTTTTGCGGATTTCCAGGCTGTTGCAGCAAAATTGAAATTTGAGGTCTATTTTGCGTTGCCTAAAGGAAAAATGAAATCAACATCGGATGTCAGGGCTGTAACGTTTCATTTTAGAACCGTATTTTAAGTGTTTAGTTTAGAAAGCTGTGAAAGGGTAATTGATTGAAGCATCGTACTCAACCTTCCCAATTATTCACACACTCAACTAAGTTAGGTTGGTTCTCATGATTAGAACAGAAATCACAGTTTGTGTCTTTAATGTTTGCTTTCTCAAATTTCAGATAAGGTACCTACATGGTCACAAACCACTCTCCAGGGTTAAATCGCAGCCGTGTGATGGTGCAGTGTTTGCAACAGCCTGAATATAAAATAAGAAAACGAATTAGGAAGAGTTTGGAAGATGGGGCCGTACTTTGATAAAATGATAGGAAAAAAGCAAACCTGAAAATTGTGCGCCTGCAACTAACCCTCTACCCAGGCAATAAAATATATCTATGCATTCCTGTGTTAAAACACGGGATTTTCTCTCTGAAACGAGTAGTGCATTGCATTCGTCTTTGGGGAAAGCTTCATAACTTGAGGTGAAAAACAAAGACCCCAGGAGAATACTCACCTGGCAGACCTGCACAAGGGGCATTGATGGGCTGTCACCTCCTGGAGGAGGGCCAGGGACTTGGTCTGTGCCTCAATCCTGGCATAGGACCAGCCTCAGGAAATCTTTGTTGAATGAACAGATAACATGGAAGTACGAACCTCTAACCAGTGTCTTAAACTTTGGGGGTAGAAAGCTTTCTCGGTGTTTGGCAAGACTTGGCTAATTTAGAGGTTTGATTTGTGATGTACTTGTTGCTTGGCCTCTGTCTCAGGTGGCCGTAGAGCTCTGTCGGGCAGCTGAAGGAGATGGAAGCATAAGAACGTCCGTCAGGAGTTTCTCAACCACCTTCTCTTCTTTTAGAACCAGATGGTCAAAGAATTGGAGGCCCGTGTCCAGCAGCTAACCGGAGAAGCAGAGAACAGTAATTTACAGAGGCAGAAATTAATTCAGGAAAAAACGGAACTCGAAAGATGTTACCAGATAACATGCAATGAATTACAAGAAGTAAAGGCAAGGTACTGTCTGAGATCATATTATCAGGTGTGGTTTGGGGGTTCTGATACTGATTGTACATTACACGTTATGCCTTTAAAAGGAGCCTAGTGGGACAGTGGGTAGCTCTTGGCTGCTCACTGAGAAGGTAATGGTTTGAACCCAGTAGCTGCTCGGAAGAAAGATGTGGTAATCAGCTCCTATAAAAGTGATGGCCTTGGAAACCCTGCAAATGACATTCTACTCTGTCCGATAGGGTCACTGTGGGTCAGAACCGACTCTTTTATGCATTTGACCTTGGGAAGTTTCCAACCTAAATACTCTGTGTGTTTACTCTCCAACTAATCTAACAAGCACAATGTTTAAAATTTAATAGATGTATGTGGCTAGGTGTTTGAAATATGGAAAGAGAATGTATTTGAATTTGGTCAACTAAAAAAAATCTATTTCAGAGATTGATTCTAAAGGTAATGGAAGTCGGTTTTCTCTTTTGCTTTAAGGCGTAACACACTACATAAAGAGAAGGATCATCTTATAAGTGAATATGAGCAAAACATAAAACTGTTACAAGCCAAACATGATGCCGATCTGAATCTTCTGAAGCAGGATCATGCTCTTTCAACTTCTAAGGTATTATATATAGCTGCTACCATCACCCAGCAGTTAGCCATTGATGGTCAAGCAAAAGGTACTTATATTAGTCTAGGAACTTTGGAGAAACAAATCCACAGCAACTCATGTGTAAGAGAGTTTTATGTAAAGAAAGTGTGCATCATGAAAACATCCCAACCCAATGCTGCCCAAGCCCACAAGTCCAACATTAACCCATTAACCCAACACCAGTCCACAAAGTCCTCCACCTCACAAAACAGAGGCAATGATGCCAACTGCAGGATGAAAGCTGAGTCAGTGAATGAACAAGCATCTCAGCACTAGCAGGGGTCTCCACACGGCTGCTCCAGCACCCAGGGCTGCATCGGGATAGGTCCATGTGGCTTCTCCTTGGGGATGTCTTGTAGGAAGTCAATCTTGCAAGCTGAAGCAGGGAACTGCTAAGGCAGATGCACCCTGGTGCGGCCATCACAAAGCAAGAGACCCAAGAACTAGAAAAGCGAGGCTCACCACCCATTTATCCCTCCGCCTTTCAATTAGCCCCACATGTGTTTATCAGCCAGGTTGGCACAATTAACTAACTCAGTACTGTAACTGCTTGACTTTTGAAATTAAGCTCTCGTTTGCTTTAATCAAGAAGCCCTGGCGTTGTTTGTGGGGTTCCTGTTGGACTGCTAACTGCAAGCTGAGTCATTTGAACTCAACAGTGGATCTGGGAGAAAGAGGATACTTTCTGGTCCCATAAAGATTTAGAGCCGTGGGAACCCAGAGGGGCAGTTACACGCCATTCTGGGGGCCTTGATAAGTCACAGTCCATTTGTGGCAGTGGATTTGGTTTTGTTGTTTTTTTGGTTGCTTTATTAAAAAAAAATAGCTGAAACTTCAACAATTTGTAGTTACTGTTATAACATTTTTAAAAGTAATAAATATGTGAGCGATGTACTACAACATGAGTATTTAATAAATTACATTTCACCAGCAAAAGTTAACCATCTCACAGCCAACATTCCTAAAAGCGGGAAACATACACATCTGAGACAATTCTTAGTTGAATTAATCATGTAGAAGATCCATTATTATGGATCTTTGAGTTGGTATTTTTGGGTGTCACACACACATGGATGACCTCACAGGACCCGCCCCTGCACTCAGACACCTCTGTGTCCAATCACTGAAGCTCTCCACGGTGAGCCCTGGTCTACAATCCTGATTGTCCAGCCAATCACTTGATATTGTATGAGTTAAAAAATCCAGCGGATTTGGTTTTAAAATAAATAAGTAAACAGTTTTCTGTAAACCTGTTACTTTTATATCAATGTTACCTTTCCATTTTTTCACATAACTATATAGAATTTTACTTATGTTTTTGCCCTAGAAAGTTTAACTTGTGGTTTTCTTGAAAACAAATTTTTTAAATTTAGATTTATCGATACATTGAATTCTAATAGAACTTTCAGAAAAAGAAGATAAATTTCACAAGTTAGAGAGTGGTATAAAACTCAACCTTCTGTAAATCTTTCTAGGCATCTGGCTTGATTGAAGAATTAGAACAGACTGTGTGTCTATTGAAAGAGCAGCTACAGGAATCAGAGCATCAAAGAACGCAACAACTGAAGGTGAATTGCATATTTTTACACCGAGAATAATGACGAAAACGTCTTTCCCTTTTCCTGGTTTGTATGTTCAAAGGAGCGTCCTTTAGAAAGAGCCGCAGAAACCCAGTGTCCATTCTTTGCTTGTGGTGCATCATTTTTCATCGCGTCTCTTTTAGTTGACAGAAGCAGATGCTAATGGGTGTGGAGACTAAAGAATCATCTTAATTGTAATCTTTTAGATTCATTTTTAAGATAACTCTCATTTCATGGGGCTGCATTTTTCACATCTGTGTAAATAACGTGCACGTAGCACGTGTGTAACACCTGCATACGAGCCTAATGTGTGAGGGAGTTGTGTGGTTTGCACAAAAGCACAAAGTACATGCATTCGTGTAAAATATCGAAGTATTATTTTAAAATGTCCCCTCTTAAATTATTTTCTATCCATTTTTGTAATCACTCGCTTGTTGTATCTTTTCTTTTTTCTGTGGTCAGAGAAACAATGGACAAGAAATCTCTTGTTTTCATATGAATTCAGTTGGTCATTTTCAAGTCATTGGCCTCTTCCCAAAGGAAAGACAGCTTCTGTTTCATTGTACTTCTGAGGGAATTTAAAAGTAGTAATATCTCAGAACTAAAATTTGCCCTAAATACAAAGTTACTCCTCTTTTTACCCAAGGCTTAATATAATTGGGCAGAATTAGGGCTCTCTTAATAATATGCAAAAATTTAAGCCAAGTTTGTCATCACCAAAATTGAAAATTTTATTAGCCCTAAGACTGAATTTAGATATAATAAAAACAAACCTTTTTCATTCACAGGATCAAGAAAGTAAATTTCAAATGGAGAAAAGTCAATTAAAACGCACCTATGAAAAAAAGGTAATGCATTTTATGAGGAACAATGAAAGATTTACGATCGCAAATGGGACCATTAGTAATGGGGGCCGATTTGTACAAAGCCACACATTCCAGCCCTCCTTTATTTCACATAGACCATAAGCACATTTTACATCTTTTATTTTTCATGTTCCTCAGCAACTTTCTCAATTTGGATATTAACTATGTCACTAATAAGGAAACCACTTGTATGTTCCAGTTAACAAGGAGTATTATTATTATGTCAACCTCCTATCAGACTTAGAAATGGTATTTTTTTTCATCAGCTAAAAAAATACAATACAGTTGAGGCTTGCTATTTTGTATTCTTTTGTATCATATGTCCAATCAGAACTTTTAATATTTAACAAGACAATAAAACAATAAAAGAATCAGGTGCTACTTTCAAAAATTGATTGTTTATTGACATTTAGGAAAGTATTTCTACTGATAGCCCTGTTATCAGTGATAGCCTAGGCTTGGTCAAACCCTTTTAGTATCTGGGATAGTACAATGCAGATTCCAGTCGATTTGGGATTATTAAACTTCACTTTTGAAATTATTGTTTGAAATAAGACATATGCAGGGTCCCTGGTGGTGCACTGGGTAGGCGCACTGGTTAATTGCTCTGATCTAACAGCACCCACTCTCTGGGAGGAAAATGTACCAGTCTCCTGTAAAGACAGCCGCAGGGGGTAGTTCTCGCCTGTTCTGCAGAGAGGCTTTGAGTTGGAATTGGCTCACCAGCAGTGGTTTTGACCCTCTGAGAGAGATGAAAAGGACAACAAGCAGTGGAAATGGCAAAGATTTTATTGCTGCTTTTGTAATTATTTGCTGTTTTAATATTTACCAAATCATTCTACTTGTAAAATATCTACATAAAGGAAAATCAGAAAATGATTAACTCATCAGTTAATTAAAACGTGTACAAGCGTGTTTCGTGTCACAAAATTTTCAAAGCTTTTTAATGCCACACCCTATCTAGCCACATCCATTGAGCATATGCTCAGTGCCTATATCGGGCACGATGTCATGCTAGGGTCGAAGGGCTGGGAGCTGAGGTTTTCTGATGGCTGTTCTTTGTTTGAACTCTTACCTGGACGTCCTGTCCTCGAAAGAGGAGGGGGGGCACTGGGATACAGAACTTCTTCAGTTTCTGCTGTGGAGCCACAAGCAAGCCAGTCCTCAGCTTGGCTTCCCACCTGATAAGGCATCCAAGCATCCTCACCAGCCCACTGTTTGTTCTTTGGACAGAGCTCTAGCTTCACAAACATTCGGACTTGGTCTCCCCAGCCTCTGCGTTGTCAGACTTGATGGTCAGTCCTCTTCCTGAGAGCTGTTATCTGTGTGCCTGGGAGACAGGCAGAGAGGCTGTTGACAGAAGAGCCAAACCGAAAACCAAACTCACGGCCACTGAGTCAATGCAGGCTCCGAGCGACCCTACAGAACAGGGTAGATCTGCCCCTGTGAGGGCCCATGACTGTAACTGACTCTTTGTGGGAGTAGAAAGCCCTGTCTTTCTCCCTTGGAGCAGCTGGTGGTTTCAAACTGTGGGTCTTAAGGATTGCAGCCAGATGCATAGCCATGAGACCACCAGGGCACCTTCCGTAGCAAGAAGAGTGCACACTTGTGAATAAATGTGCCCCATTCCCCTGCGGTGTAAAGTCCTATTGAGGACTGTGGGAGGGGTACAGCTAGACAGGTACATCTTTCTCCTACCATGATCATTTTTGTTGCATGGGCATCAGGGTGGCGACTGGCAAGGACTTAGCTACAAACAAAATGAAGGTTTCTGCTGCCAGCCAGTCCCTCTCCCACCGCATGGGCCAGCATGAGGAAGGAAAGGGTTCTCTTCACGCAGCTGCTTCTGTCTCCCTTCTGGGAGCAGACCTGGAGCCCTTCTACTGGGCCTCATCACTAGAGCTTTCCCCTCTCCACAAGGTGTCAGTTGGCCTTGCTTTCTAATAAAGTGACTCGTTAAAGTGTGTTGATTGCTTTCAATGTAAACAAGACTTATTTAAAATAATAGCAATCTTTAAAAGAAAACTAAGGGCGTTTGTGCAGAGTGCATATGTTCCCAACAGTTTTTATACTGGAAGAAAAGGGGGCTCAGCACGCCACTTTTTGTTTTACAATTAATCCCATCATCTCCTTCCCCCCACCCCGCCTTTAAATTGACATCTGTTCTTCTTCCTTTATTAAACCTGCTGTGATCTCAAGCCTTGCAGATTTGATGCCTTATACCCCCCTCGGGGAATCTCCTTTTTGACTGCTCACAGAGCTGACATAAATCTTCGACAACCCCAGCCTGTGTAACTGGATAGCGAAATGGGATGTATAGCGCTTTTGTTGGTGAGATGCTGTTACAGGTGTGTGTGCTCAGTAACGTTTGGGGTGAGGCTTACGCCAGAGTATCTGTTCAGGAGGAGGAAACGCCATCTGAATGACATTATTTCCTCAGGCCTTCGAGAAAGTACCATGGCCGGCCGGCTGGTGCCTGACAGGAGGTGGGAGCAGCAGCAAGCCTCAGATGCTACCTCTAAGTTAAGCACACACATGACCTAATGGTCTTTATTGATCTGTAGTGGCCGGTGCCTGCTCTTAAGATCTTTGAACATCAAACAAATAATGGGCAGTAAAGCCTGGTGTCATTGTTTGATGAAGTATCCTAATCTGTTAAATCAGGAAGTGGTTAGGCTAAATGATTTTACTAGCAAGGAAACACCTGCCTCCTCTATATTATACTGCTTGTTTTCCAAACAGTCACCAGAGAGTCAAAGATGGTGCTGTTTACCTGGAGAAGTTCATGTGGCAGATGTTAAGCATGCATGCTCTAAAGGGTGCTCGCGTTAAAATGGTGACTTCAAATCCTTGACAGAACCATCGAATGACTGCGGTGTTATTCTCATGGAGTTCCAAGCCACAGCCATTTACTTATTCCCGAGCTGAACCCTTGTATATAATTCTTATCATTCCGTTAAAAATAGTTGAAAATGTCCATGGCTTTACACATATTATAGTAAGTTACTTATTTTAACCTATTAAGTGGCCTTTCCCTCCCCTGATTGGCCTGATTTTATTTTTCTAAAACACGTGGGCCTTTATTGAAGTGTTTGGAAAATGAATGTGTGCAGCAAGAGATTTATAAAAGTCCTCCAGCTCAGCCCTTCACCGTCCCGTTTTGGGAAGCAGGGGTGAGAGAGGCTGAGGCCCAGGGGGGTGGCTCAGCCTGTGGATGGTCCGGTCAGCACCGGCAGCACGTGATGCCTGTCACGGTGGCATCTTCTGCTCACAGCTCACAGCATCCTTTCCTGACCCCCTGCTCATTTCTTGATTGTAGCACTTTCTGGGAGCTAGAGAGCAAAAAATAGATTTAATAAGTATTCCACAGATGAGCTTATGGCGACTGAAATCAGTTACTTTTATAGCATGTATATATCTTTGAGTAACTAGTTTATAGTGTCAGTTGTTTCTCACTTTTGCCTTCATTTTTGATGTTCACAGTATATTCCAGGGGGCAGATTACAAGCAAATCCATTTAAGACTTATCCCCCACTAGCATTCAAGCTAAAAAAACCGAAACAAACCCTCAAACTCACTGCCATGGGGTCAGTTCTGACTCGTGACCCCGTAGGACCAGGTAGGACTGTCTGTGTGCGTTTCTGGGGCTGTAACGTTTCCCCGAGTAGAAGCCGCCTCTCTCCCGGGAGCTGCTGGTGGTTTGGAGATGCTGACCTGCAGTTAGCAGCCCAACCACTCTGCCACCAGCATTATGCATTAAAAGGGAAGGATGAATACATGTATGTCTGTGTGTATACGTCTATAGAGTATATTCTCTTTCTGTGTTGTTTGTTCTTTAACTCTCTCTAATATGAAGATAAAGGATTTTTTGAATATCCAAATAAATGGGTATTACATCTCCAGTCTCACTTTCAAGTTCCATATGCAGTGATTTCTCATTTACTTAGTGTTCAATTATCTGTCACCCATTCCCCCCCCCAAAAAAAAATCACTGCCATTGAGTCCATGCTGACTCACAGTGACCCTACAGGACAGAGTAGAACTGCCCATGTGAGTTTCCAAGAGTGTCACTCTTCATGGGAGTAGAAAGCCCTGTCTTTCTCCCCTGGAGTAGCTGGTGGTTTCTGACTGCTGGCTGTGTGGTTAGTAGCCCAACGTGTGACCACTGCTCCACCAGGGCTCCTATCTGCCTCCCATATCTATCTGGTATGTAGTTGAAAACACAGACATACTTTTAAAATGCCCTTAAACATACAAAGTAACTATATTCAACTATAAAAATGAAACAGAACACATACACACAATCAATCCAAAACAGGATTTATTGACCAGTCTAGCATGGGGGGTTCAGTTTTGTGTTGGGTGCATGGGGGATAAAAATAAATGAGAAACAGCTTCTAGCTTTAAGACACCCCAACTTGAGTCTGTGCACTGACAAAGGGTGCTGGACTCAGAGGGAAGTCCCTCACCCCACTGCCAGATGGTTCCATTCCTGCTGTGGAAATAGCTGTGATTGTTTTAGAAGCAGTCAACTAGGTCATGGTGTTTCAGTTACACAGTGCCCAGCGCCCAGAAGTGGCAGCTGAAAACTTGGCAGAGGTTAAGATGGGAGAGTGCGTGATCAAAAGCACTTGCCCGGAGTCAAGCTTAGCATTGGGGGCCGTTTGCTGGAAGGGCCAGCAGACTGCGTGAGGGAATGACTGGGCGCTAGCACGGGTGCATGCTGAGGCTCATCGTGACCTGACCTCATTAAAGATAAACGCTTGGATTGCTGTGTTTGACCCGTGGAGGTAATAGTAATAATTATTAACATTTATTGAGCACTCACGTTCTTCCTTTATTTATTTTTTTATTTTTTTAGCACCTAAATGTTTTACATAGAGTGACTTGCTAACGCTTTGATTCTTTGATGTCTGGACTAATGTTTTCCCCGTTTTCAGATAAGGCCCCTCAGGTCCAGGGTACTGTGGGGCTGGTGGTGGAATGTGGACACAAACCTGCAGGGCCACACTCCAGGGGTTGCACTCATTATCACTGTATAATTTGAGGTCGATTTTTATCACATTCGTGGTTTTTTTCAATGTTTCCCCTTTTAAAGGGACTAAATCTCAATTATTAAACATTTTATTTCGATCGAAGAGCTCATTGCTTGAGGATTAATAATGAAAGTTTCACTCCTTTAATTTGAATACAGATCATTTTCATTGAATGGCATGTCTGTACAGTTTCTACACATCTGTGTGGTTGGTTATGTGGTAAAAAACAAAGCAGGCGTCAAAGTAAAACTGAAATGGATTCACATTAAACTTCTGACTAAACACAGCCTTTGTTTCCCAGTGTCTGCTGCACCCTCGGTCTGCTGCTCCCGTAAGTAACTGGGCTGATATTTAACGCTCAGTGCTAGTGAAAACAGACGGCCCGCTTGCCCTTAGGATCAAAACTAACCTGGGTCAGGAGCCGTCTCCAACTGCGGGTGGTGGCTGAATGCCATGGTGCGCGCTGTGCAGGGCCTCATAGAAGAGGAGGCGCTCATCACCTCCACTCAAGCAGCTCTTTCCAGTGATTGCACATTGCAGTGAAACGCCTCCATCGTTTGCGGGCCGCACGTAGTGTTTCATCATACTTAATGTAGTAGCATAGACCTTCATAACTCAAGGGGACCCTGGTCATCCGAGATGCGGCAAGCGCCCCACGGACCGGGGAGAACAAGGCAATGTTGCCTGACTTGGTCGGTACCATCGATTCAGGTCTGCAGCTGCCCAGCATCGCAACAGAAGCGACTCTGGGAGAAAGAAAGAAGGAAATGGGTGAAGCTGTCACCAGCGCCATGCCCATCGGCATGAAATGTTTGCACCTTTGATCTTGCACTGAATGTGCAGTTTTTACAGTAACATACAAAATACGTGCTAATCGCCTGTGCTGTCGGCAAGCTGGCTTCTGGTTAACAGCAGGCTGTTGCCAGTTAAGTTTTTGGAGAGGCCGAAGTTATGCTTGAGAGTTGACTGCAGGTGGTCCACCCCCACTCCCACTCACCATAGCAGTCACGGGTCACCTATATATCAAAATAGACCTCAAATGAGTTAATAGGAAACGATTCAAGCAAAGGACTCTGGAATTACACATAAACACCAACAGACACTAACAAGTGTGTCTTTAACTGTGCCTCTACTACTTTTTCCAGTTAGCTTTCCTCCTTGCTGCCCTCCCTCACCTCAATTGAGTACATCTACTTTTCTATTTAGAAAAAAAAAAAATTCCCTGAAGAGTCTATGTAAAGAAAGAATTTTGTTGCTATCAAAACAAATGCTTCTAAAATCTTCACATTACTGATCACTTTTCTGTTGTGATCCATAAGGTTTTCCAAATCTGGTCACCAGGCCTTTGTCCCTTGTCTGCCTTAGTCCAGAAGCTGTGCTGGAACCTTCCAAGGGCCACCCTGATACATTTGAAGTACACTGCTAGCATGTTTTCCAGCACCACAGCCACACACCACACACCACCGTAAAGCAAACCTACAGACAGGTGACAGATTCCCACACCAGCTGGTGTTTTTAATGGAGAGTGAACCTGAGAGATGCCTCACTTGCGTTTGAAAAGCCACTAGGAGGGCATCATATGGTAATGAGGTAGAGGACAAGGCAGAGAGGGAGATGTGGCACAGTGACCACAGTGATGGACTGGAGCCTGCTGGCCATCATGGGGAATGGTGGAGGACCGAGCACTGTTTCGCTCAGTTGTGCAACCATCACCCATGTCGGAATCAGCTTGACACCAGCCAGCTAACTATGGGTAGTGTTGCAGTGGTGCTACTGTTGCCTGAGTGGCGTCTTTCTCCAAGTTGATACACGTTCTACATGCCTAACACTGCAATACTTGATAGAGATCCAAGCTAAAGCGGACAATTTTGACCTTGAACCTGGGAAATTTTTGAACAACACCCTTTCATTTTTTCTCCCAAGTCAGTAAAACTAATATAGTACCTAAAATTTTACTTTCATTCTTCCTACTAAGAAAAATAGTGCTAGTGGGATATTTTGAATTTTCCATTTAAATTATGGGGCAAGAGGGACTCTGATCTCCTAATTCGGATTTGCAGCTCTGATAGTGTAGTGGGTTACGTATTGGGCTGCTGACCACAGGGTCTGTGGTGCAAACTCACCAGATACTCCTGGAGAGAGAGATGAGGCTTTCTGCTCCCATAAAGATTAACAGCCTTATAAGGTAGGCATGGAAAACAAGCTCTAGAAGAAAGCAATGGGACCAACAGTTCCAGAGGACTTTCCGGGAGAGGGAGGCGGGGGAAGGGAGTGGTGATAGACAGGGGGAACAACTAGGGAATTAGAATCAACAATGAGGAGGCCATAGAGATCCCAGGGGTGTTGGGGACAACAGCAGTCTATCTGAGAGGAACTACTAAAAGGCAGAAGAAGGGTGAGCAGGAGGAAGGCAAAATGCAACAGAGGAAAGATCTAGGAAGCAAAGCTATGGATAGAGGTATAAACATAGGTGTGTACATATACAAATACATGAATTCATAAAAGAGGTATTGGCTAACATGACCAGATTTTCACATTGGTAAAGTGGGACACCATTGATAAAACTCATATCCTGGCAAAATAGCCACATGGCAGCCAAAAACCGTATATCCTAGCTTGTGCAATCTTTCAAAAAATTGGCACTGTCACTTTAGTATTGGCCTATGTACATATATTTCTATGGCAATACACTGAGGTTGTGGATGGACTTAGGGCCTCTACTCATACCCTCCCTCAATGAAAGAACACTTTGTTCTAAGAAACTGGCATTCTGTGATTCACCCTCCCAGCACAATTGCTGAAGACAAAATGGGTACATAAGCAAATGTGGTGAAGAGAGCTGATGGTGCCTGGCTATCAAAAGATACAGCATCTGGGGTCTTAAAGGCTTGATGTTAAACAAGCGGACAACTAGCAGAGAAGCAACAAGCCCATATGGAAAAAGCACACTAGCCTGTGCGATCATGGGGTATGGTGGAGGTTCGGTAACAGGCATCAGAAGACTCAAAACAAAGAAACAAACATTGTTGAGAATGAGGGGAGTTGGAGCAGTCCCCAACCCATCTGTAGACAATGGGACAGCTTACAGAAGGATTCCAAGGAAGAGATGAGTCAACCAGGGCGCAGTATAGCACCAATGAATTGCACAGTATTCCTCTGGTTCCTTGAGGCTTCCTCACCCCCCACTGTCATGACTCCAGTCCTACCTTTCACTGTTGCCTAGACCGGAGTATGTGCACCGGTACAGATGAGATAAGAGCTCACCACACATGGAATCCAGGAACAGAAATGGAGGTAGTGCGACCAGGAGGGTAGGGGGAAGATGGGAAGAGGAGGGTAGAAAGGGGGAACCGATAGCAATGATCAACACATAATTTCCACACACACCACCACCCCAGGGAGCCGAACAACAGAAACCACGGGGAAAGGGAGACCAGTGGTCAGTGTAAGATATGAAAACAATAATAATTGATAATGTATCAAGGTGTCACAAGGGTGAGCATGGGGGAGGGAGGGAAAAAGAAGAGCTGATAACAAGGGTTTAAGTAGAAAATGTTGAAAATAATGGCAACAAATGTACAAATGTGCTTGACATGATGGATGGATGAATTGTGATAAAAATTGTACGAGCCCCCCAATAAAATGATTCTTTTTAAAAAGTAAATGTTTACAAAATAATGATGACAACATATATACAAATATGCTTGATACAAATGATGTTTGGATTGTCATAAGAGCTGTAAGAGCCCCCAATAAAATTATCTTTTAATTAAAAAAAATATTAACAGCCTCAGAAATCTGCATTCTACCTTGTCCTATAGGGACTCTATGAGCCAGAATTAACCCCATGGCAGGGAGTTTGGTTTGAGTTTTAATTCCAGTTGTGATCTCCTGATACCCCTATGGTGGTGTGCTGCTGGGTAAGCATTGGACTGCTATGCCCAAGGTTGGTGGTTCAACTCCACCAGCGGCTCCTTGGAAGACAGGCAAAGCTGCTTGTTCCTGTAAACATTTACATCCTTGGACACCTTATATAAGGGTGCTCTGAGTTGGAATCCGCTTGATGGCAGTGGAATTCCCCTGTAGCCTGCTCTTTCTACCACCCTGCATTTGTTTCTTTTTTTTTCCTTTTCCACCCTGCATTTTCTTCTTTGCTTTTGTCAGGTTTTTTTTGTTTTCATTGTGGTGGCTGACCACAGCAGCCAGTAGAAGCTTCCTCATATTCTCATGGAAGGTTTTCTTTCCACCCATTTTCCCCACCCATTTTATATGTGAGCAGAGTTTATTATCATTATTGCTATCATCAAAATTTTTGAAAACTAAAACACCAACAGAAAAAAAATGTAAGAGAATTGTAAAGGAAAGGTTTTTGGTTTTTAAAAAGGTCTTTATTCAAAGTAGTGTGAGAGAACGATGCAACCGTCCCCTTCCAGTGTGTGATGCTGGAAACCATCGGGGCAGTTCTGCTGTGTTTTATAGGGCTGCCATGAGTCAGAGGAGACTCGGTGGCCATGGGTGTTTGTGTATTGTGCCAGGTTAAGTGTTGGGCTGCCAACTGCGAGGTTGGCTGTTGGAACCCACCAGCAGCACCACAAGAGAAAGATGAGAGTGGGAAAGATTTACAGTTTCAAAACCCCTAGGAAGCAATTCTGCACTGCCTTACTGTGTCGCTGGGTTGACGTCAGAACTGACTCAGTATATTTGGGGGGTACTGATGCTAGGCAATAGTGATTGCTAGTGAAGGCCTGAACCATTCTATGGCGAGTGTCTATGGCTAACTGGGTCTCTGTCTGATCTTCTATTAGAAACATGGTCAAAATTTGGGTTTCATTGTTCAAATTTTCCAAGTCAGTTTTACTTGTCTTTCAGTGAGTTTTGTGTGTCTTTATCCTGGCAGGTTCATGACTTGCAGAGTGAACTTGATAAAGAGAAAGAAGATACTCAAAAGAAAATTCGTAAATTTGAGGAAGCTTTGAAGTGAGTAAAATTGCGATATGTCCATAAAATTCTGAAAGACTCTTACACAAAAGCAGGAGCCGAATGAAGTCGCTGTCATATAAGGCTCACCTGTCTATAAGACCCATCCTGTGGTTCACTTTGCATCAGTTTCAGAATTTAATGACTTGCTAGTAAATTTTTTTTTTATGGAAAAATCAATTTAGCTGTTTTTAAGTGATAGGAATGTTAAAATATATATATAACCGTGATTTCAGATGCTTTCTTACTCTTAAATGAAAACAGATTTTAAGAAAGCGAAACTTTGGGCTTAGGACCTCTTAGATTGTCTGTAGATTTTGTTGAGAAATTCGGGCCATGATGTTTGCATTGTTATATTTGGCCCTGGACTATTCTGTAAACAATGTTTAGGGAAGATTGTGTCTTACAATTTAACATCGAAACGTATATAAAAGTGGTAGATTTGTTTGTCTTCTCCATTGATGTGATCAATTGATCCCAACTCATTAGCGACCCTGTGGGACAGGGTAGAAGTGCCCTTGTGGGATTCCGAGACTCGTCTAAATCTTTACAGGAGTAGAAAGGCCCATCTTTCTCCTAAGGAACAGCTTCTGTTTTCAAACTGCTGGCTTTGGGCTTAGGAGTCCAACTCGTAACCCACTACACTACCAGAGATTAGGCCCTACTCTTAGCTAGGTCAGTGGTTCTCAACCTTCCTAATGCTGCGACCCTCTAATAGAATTCCTCATGTTGTGGTGACCCCCATACCATACAATGATTGCCATTGCTACTTCAGCATTGTAACTTTGCTATGTTTATGAAATGGGTAACCTCTGTGAAAGGGTCGTTCCACCCCCTAAGGAGTCGTGACCCACAGGTTGAGAACCGCTGAACTAGGTTGTCCTAGTTTCTGATTTTAGCTGAAAGATAATGACTCACTCGATAAAGATTGGCTGAGTTCTCCCTAAGTCCCAGGCCAGTTGTAGGTCCTTGATAGAGGACTTTGTAATTTGGTTGAAGAATAATTAAGGGAAGTTGAGCTTACCAACACTGGCTCAGGGTGATGCGAGCCTTAGAGGGTGGACAGTGTTCAGGGTACCTGCTTGAGAATGTGGCTCCAAAATGGAGGCATCCTGGAGTTCATTGTACCCAACTACCTGCCAGGGAATCAACTCCTTCATCACAACCAGAGAGAGAGAGGGAGAGAGAGAGAGAGAAGGGTTGTGCAATCTTCCCAGGCAGAGGTTGGTCCTAATTTTGTGTGATTTTGGATATTCTTTTTGACCTGTTATTCCTGTTTGAAGGTTTGGGGAAGCAAGAAAAGTAGGAACGGATGAAACCTTCTTATAAAACACATTGGCTCAGTGGCTGAAATCTTCAAATGATTTGAACTCTGTCACAGTACAAGAGATCATTTTTCCCCCTTATTCATTAGGATTTATTCATATCACCAAATATCAATTAGGTGAAATCACAAGAGAACAATAATATTCAATCATTTTAAAAGAAATAACTCTCTTATGCTTCAACTTGAACACACACAGCTAGGGAGGGCATACTCGCTTTCTTCCTGGGGGTTGTGCCCTCCCTTTATTCCTCCTGGATTAGTTTTCTTCCTCTTTAAAATGGGAACCACTTTCTTCCTTTCTTAAGTTTACCACACCTTCTCTCTCTCTCTTAATTTCTGTATACTCTCTGCATTGCTTCGTTGATTTGTATATTATGACCCTAAAGCAAATGCCTGTAAGTAACAATCAACAAGTACTTCGTAGCTGCAATGCATTCTGCAGTGCCATCCTGAAAGGAATACGAGGTTTGGCAGAGCTACCAATGGCCTAGCCCGTCTTTAACCATTCTCCATGGTCCAGGTTAGGCACTTGAAGTACTTAGAGTAATAATCAAGTTGTTGAGGAGTCCTGGGTGGTGCAGATGGTTAAGCTGTGGACTAACCAGACGGAGGTTGACTGCCGAAACTCACCTGCAGGCACCAAACCTGCAGGCACCTTGGGCATAAGACCCCGGCCATCTGCTTTGAGGGCAGCTGCCTTGAAAACCCTCTAGAGCAGCAGTTCTCAACCTGTGGATCACAACCCCTTTGGGGGTCGAATAACCCTTTCACAGGGGTCGCCCAATTCATAACAGCAACAAAATGACAGCGATGAAGTAGCAGCGAAAATAATTTTATGGTTGAGGGATCACCCCCACATGAGAGCTCGGCATTCGGGAGGTTGAGAACCACTGCTCTAGAGCAGTTTTCACCCATAGCAACGATAGCAAGTTGTTGGCAAGTGCAGTTAAGAGTTCAGAATGCTTTTCTTTAAGGAGATATTGGTAGTTGATTTTAAAAAAATGAAAAATCTTTTAATGTTCAGTGATAGTGAAAGAACCTTGAAATCCCCGGTTTCTGTACAAATCCAGCATAATCATTTTCTGAGCCAAGCCACACTCTGTAGGCATTTGAAGGTTCCTTGCCAAATACCAGATTTTGCTGGGGCGTTCAGAGAAGCTGTTGTAGAATTCCTAATAAAATCCTGCCGTCGATCCATGTCTATCGCCTCCTAAGTAGGTGATGTCTTCATTGCCCAGCTGTCTGGAGATCTGCAAGGATCAGATCCGAGAGTAACAGAGGCACTTTTTGTGGGGTCTGCACTTCAAAAGAAAGAGCACAAGCTGGCTACTTCCCCAAAGGAAAATGTGGGGTGTGGGGTGGGGGGGTGGGGTGGCAGTGTCTGCTGCTGCTGGTTTTGAATCTGAAGAATCGTGTTAGGTTTATCTGCTCAAGACACAGCTCATTTTGCACAAAGACAGTAAGCATTTTTCTTCACTAAATATACACAATGATAAAGAAAACTTCACCTTTAGACTAGGATGTTATGTATTTATATGATTGTTCTTTCATCCACTCAACAAAGGCTGACTTTCTCTTTATATGTGGACTGTATACTAGAGAATATCAGAGAAAATAAGAATCTATGCATAAAAATTCACGTTGTCGATTCAGACTGTGCCCCCACAAAATGTATGTTGGAGTTCTGACCCCTATCCCTGAAAAGAGCACATTTTCTCTATATTATCAAACTCCTCTAAGAAAATGCTATAATTTGAATGGTTGAACACATCCCAAAGTATTCATGTATTATAGTTAAGTGTCCAGGCTGAGACATTCTTAAGGACCAATCAATTGGTTATATATTATCATTGTAAAACTCTGGAATAATTCTTTGAAACTTGAGAATTAGAAAATGATATGCAAACTTAAGCTATAAAAATCTAACAATAGAATGATATTTATGGCCAAACATACCAAGTCCTGTACAACAAAACAGTTTTTGTTCATTTCCATGAATTTGTTTATTAGCAATAGAAAGAGACAGACTTCTGCAACTGGTATCAGACTACATTGGCACAAGAATAACTTTAAAACCTGTTGCTTTATGTGAGCTGTAAGTGGAATTAAGTAGATTAAGTCAAATGGGAATCTGTACAACAAGCTTCTGTGGCACAGTGGTTAAAGCACTCTGTTTGGAAATGAAAGGTAATGGGTTCAAGCCCTCCCGCTACTCCCCGGTGCGGCAGTCTGCTTCCATGTAGATTTACAGCCGTAGGAACTGTACGGGCAGTTCTGCTCTGGCTTACAGCATCTGGTGTTGGAATCAACAGCAGTGGGTTAGTTTGGGGGTGCGGGCCAGGCTACAGCCCTCTTGATGCGAAGACAGTGTAAACCACTGAGGAAACTGGTAACACCTCACTGCCTGGGAAGGATCAAAAAGGAAATGGGGAGCATAACAGCAGGCAAGTCTCCTTCGCTCGCTTGGCAATCTGAGAGAGCAAATTCTTGAAGGCCGTGACCTGGAGGTTTCTTTGACTTTGTTCTTTCTCATGCCATGCAATCCATGTTGATTTAAAGTTGAGATGAAGAGAAAGAAGAGAAAGGAGGCCCTGCTGATAACACAGAGTTGGAAAATGAAAAGTCGAAAGAAATTTCTTTCTCTATCGTTGTTCTTAAGGAGCCCCAGTCGTGCTGTTGGGAAGCATTGCCGCTGCTAACCAAAGGGTCAGCGGTTCAAACCCACCAGCCAATCACAGAAGAGAGATAAGGTTGTCTCGTCCTATAATGATTGACAGACTCAGAAACTATATGCAGACTTGCTATTGCATTAATGGCAGTGAGTCTTATAAGTATTCTTGCTTCCTACAGGTCAATGGGGTCAAAGGTCCAATCTGTTCCTATAGATGCTTAGGAACTATTCAGCAACTTTTGTTTTTTATGGATATTTTTAACATTGATACTGCGTGAAGTAGGCTATTTACTGCTGCTTAATTATAACTTTTCTTTTTATTGCTGTTAAATTTTGTATACTGTATTTTCCTTTTTTAAGGTTAATAATACAGTAATTTTTATTAGCTGGACTTGTAGGCAAAAGTTTAGTTTGTTTTTTTAAGACAGTTTAATTGTCATATCATTCACTTATCATACAATTCAATAGTTCAATGCCTTGCCTTTTAAAAAATATATCTATCTGCACTGTCAATTCAACTCCAGGTGGCAAGGGACCAAAATAACATCTCTGAGAGGAAATGCGTTAGGGCAAAGTATTTTTTTAGTTCTATAATTCTATTACTGCTACATCGATACATACCGTCTTCAAACTTCAGTGAAGTCCTTGGTCATTACATATTAGTTTATAAAATAAGGGAAGCCTCCCTTGCTATAAATGCATATGATTATATCAGAGATGAGTTTGTCTCTCACTACATGGTTATCATTTTATGCAGTCAAAAGTAGTGGTTATTATTCTGAGAAAAAGAGATCAAACGACACCTTGCGTTGGGTAAACCTGCTACACCAGACACCTTGAAAGGGTTGAAAAGCAAGGGTATTACTTTGACGACTAGGTGTACCTGACCCAAGGTCATGGCATTGTCAATCTCTTCATATGCATGTAAAAGTTGGACATTGAATAAAGGAGACCAAAGAAGAATCGATCGTTTGAAATGTGGTGCTGGCGAAAAATATTGAA